AGGCGGCCAAGGCCGGGGAGCTGGCGGCCCCTCCTGCCTCCTCCCGAGTCATTTATGTTTTACTCATTTCCTGCTCCCAGTAACGAGGCCAGCGATGCCGGGGTGGCGGCGGTGCTGCTGAGAAGGCAGATTGTTACACTCACACACATGGATGTTTTTGTTTCAGGGTGAATTTTTAGTGCTCGTGAAAGGGAGGGACTAAGCAGAGCTCGCTGGCACAGAACCAGCAAGCTTCCCGGCAGCCCTCTGCCAAAAAAATCCAGACACGCAGTTCGCCCCCCCCCAGGTTCCTGCGGCCCCTCCTTGCTCCCTTTCTCCCCCCCTCCCCTCCTCAGGGGCCTCACTGCCGGACGCAGTATTGCCCTTGTACCCTGCAGCCCCTCAGCCCATCCAGGCTGCAGCACCCTCGCAGTCCCCTCGCCATCCCCTTGCTGTCCCCTCGCTGCCCAGCGCAAGGTTCCTCCTGCGATGCGCAGCCACGCTGCAGTCTTGACCCGTCACTCCTTAATCCCAATCTCTCTTCTCACTTGTCTGTGGAATTACTGCAGGAGGGTGGGGAGACTCTTGTGATATAAACATATCCTTGGAGGTGAAAACAACTTGAGGCCAAACAGATTCATTGCACTAGTGATTTAAACTAGGTGAAATGTCGACAGTTACTCAACATCACATTCCCAAACTCGTTACATAAACAAACCTTCTAGTGATGTTTTGTATAGGCTCCAGCCCAGCCCCACCGATCTGCTTCACTCCCTAAGACACGGCAGGGACGTGGGTCTCCTGGCTTGTGTCTTCCCTTACACATCCACCACGGCTGAACTCTGCCATTTGCCTCCTTTGTTACAACGTACTAACAGGATTCTGCGGGTTTTGTTCAGTTTTGTTTTGCTTTTTAAAATTTGTCGTTAAGAGAACAAAAACTTTTTTGGCTGCAGCTATCAGCTCATTTTTGGTTGCTTTCTAATGCCAAGGCCAGCAGGATCCAGGAATTCGTCTACTGGTGCCAGCAAGAAAGCACTGACCCAAACAAGGGAGCCAGAACTTGGACTGCAGTCCTTGCCAGGGATCAGCAAGAGGCCAGAGAGACCATGCTGCTGAGTCATCACCGCTCCAGCTGCTACAAGCCTTTTCTGGGGACGCGGCTGTTGCTAAGATTCCTGGGAGCTGACTGATTGCTCCTTCTATAGTCATGTAACACACACGTACACGTCAAAGGAGCAAGGCAGAGCAGCTGGGGCCAGCTCGGAGCGAGAACACAGCCTGCTGGCCATGAGCAGCCTGGCTTGGCCGTGTGCTGGTGCAGGACCTGCTGCTCTACGTGGCTCTGGGCTCCGTTTGCAGGGCTAAAGTTACCTTGCTCCCAGAGAGCTTCTCCTGTCACCTTCTCATGGAGGCGTTTCAAAAGGCAAACACTCTGGGCAGTGGTTCTGTACGAAGTTTTCTTTCTGTTTGTATTTTCATGTTTCACCATGCTTGCTTTAGACCAGAGAGCCAGAGACTTTTAAGAGGTAGGAACATGCTTAAAATCTGTGCATTGCATTCCTTGTAGGGCCACTGTTGGGTCATTCCCTTCATACGGTAAATAAGTTCAATCAGCAGGCAAGTAAAGTGAGCACTTTCCAATTCTGAGGCCCAGAACTGAAATTAATGATCAAGTTTGAGAGTATTCTGCAGCCTCACACACAGGGAGGGAACGCTTTGTCATGTGCACCCTTCATTTTCCTTCACCCAATTTAATCTTTTTAATCTTTTTATTCTCCTGCCTTTTATCTGCCTCAGCTACTTGCCTTCCCCAGGTTCTGAAGTTACCCTTGCTTCCTACTCCACATTTGACACTCAACAGACTAGATGTAGTCGGGATTTTAGATCTCTCTGCTCACATCTAGGTTGTAAGAGCCTTAGGGCCTGTCTTCTCTCTCTGACATTAGACACATCACTGATTCCAAAGGAATAACTAATCATACTAACATTTAATAATAAAACTAATAATTCCAGAACCCAGTCTCCCTGCTCCTCTTTATCGAGTGAGTGTCTGTTGAGGTGCCAAGCTCAGAATTACAAATTGTCAGATGAGGTTTCAGAGCACTTGAGTTTCACAGGCACTTTTTTCCAGTAGCACCTCAGAGTCCCAACCATGGACCAAGACCACTGTATACCATAATACTGAAAAAGGGTCTTTACTCTAAAGCATGCACAGTCGAAGAGAGGCGACAAGCGATTGGCAGACATAGACAGGGGAGGCCCAGCAGGCAGTGAGTTTGTTTTGACCAGCGTGGCAGGAGGTGGTCTTCACAAACAAGCAAACCCACTGAATTTTAGGGCAGATTCAGGTCGAGAAGAAGGGATTATCTGAGATCCTCAAAAAGACAGTTTTTAACTCAATAGCTCCTTCTTGCAGGAGAGAATAGGCACCCATGGTCATTTCTCAAAAGAAGCTTTAAGTATTGCATAAGGGCAGTAGCACATTCAAATCCACTTCTGGCCAAATCAGAACAGAAATAGTCTCTTGGCATATGAAATCTGTTTATGTAGACAAATATACGTATAGCCAAATGGGTAAACTTATCTGTTAAGTGTTTTGAGAAAGCTGTTAAGAAATTTTATGCATACCAATATAGAAATAAGTGAATTCTAAATTGCTCAAAATGAATGTGGGCAATCTCCATCACACCAAAAGTAAGAAAAGCCTGAGGGACACAGTGAAAGTGCTAGTGAAAAAGTGCTTGGAGACATCACTGGAAGAAGCCACTCTGTACTGACTGTAAAGGGACAGATTAAATGGGATCAGATGTGATTTTGCTAACTTTAATTTATACAGTGTTCTAGGTATTGTAGAAAACAGAGGGGTGGAAAGGCACTACACACACTAAGTTTCTGATTACTTGCATACACAGATTTGGAAGCTGCATTTGGTTTGTAGCAAGACATCATAGTGCTCTGAGAGGATGCCTGCATGGGTGGTGAAAGCCATGTATGGTGGAGGCTCATCCCCTCCACTCCATATAGCTAGAGGCATGATATCTTTAAAAAATTCTTCAGTTACAATATCTGAATCTTGCTTTTTTGTTAAGCAGGAGGGTTTTTTATGCCTCTAGAGTGACTTGCTTTTCATAGTACAGGGAACTTTGTTGTGTATTGCTTGGGGAAGCTCACCATCAACAGAACTATGAAGAAAGCACATCCTGAACTAGAGATGCCACACAACATCCCCCATTCTCCAATTTAGGGCATTTTGATATCATGAGACCCCTTAGATGTGTTGTAAAACATCAGTCACCACTTGTGTTTCAGACCCATGTCTGCTATGGCTGGGACGTCCGGTGAAGGATGCCTGGGAGCAGCTTAGGCTGCAGCTGACAGGAAATGTTAACACTGCCTTTGAAGAAGAGGTCAAGCTCTGCTCCCCTCTGAGCTGTACTGTTGTTTAGCCAGTCCCACTGATACCATCTCTGGAGCAATCAGATCTTCAAAGCTATTACTTGGTGTCAAACCTCCCATATTCAAACAAGGTAGTAGAGTGGCCCTAAAGAGTTGCTGCCTGTGCACCTATCCATCACTCAAATCTTGGACAGTCCTCAGCAGAGGTTCAAGCTTGGTTGTGGGATAGAGGGTGCTGGCAGCACAGACAACCAACCTTCAAACCAACAGATAGGGAGGGGACTTCCATCTTCATTCTTCTGGGTCTGCCTGCAGTGCTTGCTACAGTTAGCTTCACAGAAAAACTTTCTTACCCCAGACACTGGTGATATTTAGAGAGCCTGTGAAACAGATCCTTTCTTTTTGTAAGAATGTTTGTTCGCATGAGATAGTCATGGATAGCTGCTTTCTCTGCCTTCAAAGAAGTCATGTGAAGAGCCCCAGAAGGCTTCAGCCTTCCCCCCCAATACTTTCTACATCAATTCTAGGTCTTGACATTTATTTTCAAGGCCTTCTGTGAAACTATCCAAGAATATCTTAGAAAAGCCCCTTTCTTTGCATGTTGATAGTACTGTTCCTCTGAACCCTGGGATAATGAAAGACAAGGCGTTCTCTACAGCAAGGTCATGGCTTTACAGATCCCTCTGCTTGAAGATATAAATCTCCTTTCTCTGGCTTTACTGAAGACAGATCTGAAAACAGCAAAGAAAAAACAAGAAGGTGAAAGAAAAAAGAGATGAAAAGAAAGCTATAAGTGAAAAGAGCTAAAGCAGTGAGAGGGAGGGAGTGAGGAAAGAAACAGCTTGAAAATGACAATTAAATCAGTTATAATGAAGAAAAAGATTTTACCTTTCCTTAGAGGTGGGAAAGAAAATCAGCCCACTGGGATGCTATGCACTGCTCAGCTCTCGATACTCTAGAGGGAGAGTTTATGAGCACATGGAGAAAGGAATTCCACACATGCAGAGATGCTTATATAGGTGATGTCCTTGCCTATACAGTTTAGGCCAGTCTACCTCTGTGCAGACTTTCAGTCGAATGTATAATCAAAATAAAGTCCTGTGCTACAGGGTTCCCAGCTGTTTTCTAATGTGGATACAGGAGCATTTGACTTGATGGCAACAAGAATCCATGAGGTATCTCACTCCAAATCACAAGATTTTATGTCATCTAATTCTTAGCTTTTCTCATGTTTGCATCCTGCAGATTTAAAATTACATTTCTTCCAGTGCATTGTAGTGATACACTCTTTCCAAGGTCATGGCACAGCTTTCAATATACCATTACTAAATATCTACAGGTACTGGGCAGATCTGAGGGTCACTGTGAGATTATATTAATGGCAGAGTAAGGGGTCTGACACGGGGATAGACATTTCTACTCCCATGCGCATCCTTTTGAAGGCCCACAAACCTTTAGTCCAAGAGACTTAATAGGACTGTAATAGGATTGTAATTCTTGGAAGTGTCATGGCACTGCTTTAGTGTCAGTGCCATAAAGGTTTTAAAAAGGGTAGT